AACAGCCAGATTTGCTAAAACACAATGAATCAAATCGTTTAACTGCGAATACTTATTTAAATGCATTAAATACAAAAATAAAATCTAACCCTAAAAATAAACTTTTAAAATGTTTTTATACTAACGCAACTTCTCTTAATCCGACTAAAATGAACGAGTTATCTGCACTCTGTGGTATAAACATGCCTGATTTAATCTTTATTTCTGAGACATGATTTACTGAAACATCTGCCACTCAATTAAATAACTATTCACTAGTGAAAAAAAAGAGAATAGGTCACGGTGGAGGGGTTGCTATCTACATTAAGCGTGATCTAGTTGCGCATGAGGTATCTGATTGTCATCTAAGAGAGACTTTAAACAACAGCAACTCCAAGCAAATATGGTGCGAAATTAAAATCGTTAACGAAATGATTCTTATTGGCTGTGTCTATAGACCACCTTTATCCCATATAGATGATATAAATAAAACAATTATTTCAGCTAAGCAAGCTGTTGATATAAAAGCGTATAGTTGTATGTTATTAGCAGGTGATTTCAATTTTCCGGATATTAAATGGCATAATGACAAAAGAATTGAATTACTAAGGCAGCAATTATTTGAAAATAAAAACACTAACGAATGCTATGAACTTTTTTGCAATAAATATGATAAACTCAGCAAGCACTTCATCCCGTTAAAAAAAGTCCATTCTACTCGTAATGCACCGTGAATGAATAAGGAAGTATTAGCTATGATAAAGAAAAATCAACAACTGGGCAATTACTTATCTATGACAAACTGGGGATCAACGACCCTCATTTGTGAATATAAGAAACTAAGAAGCCAAGTTCAGAAAGCATGTACACATCGTGTTCGATTATTTGAAGCCCAACTGGCATCAGATAAAAATAATCCAAAAAGAATGTATGCTTATGCTAAAGCGCAACAGAACGTACATGTATCTATTGGCGCTATATCAGATGCAAAAGGTGAAACGTTAACAGAGGCAATACATATCGCAAACAGACTTAACGAACACTTTAAATCAGTTTTTGTTGATGATAGCATAAATGATCAGTTACCGGTTTTTGAGAGAAGACATAATCAAGAAGGCTTAGACGATGTAATAATAAGTTTTGAAGCAACGCTAGCCTATTTGAATGGTTTGAACCCGAACAAATCTATTGATTTTGATAACATTATTTGGTTCAAGATTTAACAAATTATATTTTTTAATTAAGGAGTGAAATCAGTATTCATCGCCTTTTTATTGACATTGGGGCATTTTTCAAAAAGCCCTAATGTAAATGAAAATGAATTTTCAAATAAGGCTGACATTGGGGCAGTTTTCAAAATGCAGCACTATATAAATCGTCTTTCAAATAATATTAATATTTTTATATACATTTTTTTTTTGTTTTTTTTTTAATTTATTTATTTAACTATAAATTAAATAAAATTACAAATTTATTTATAAATTTACAAAATTAGGTTTGGTGTCACTTGTATAGTTAAAAATACTTAAAACTAGTCATTGGAGTGACACTTTAATAAAATAAACAATTAAAGCAAAAAACAAACAAACAACAAAACAAAAATATAGATAGTGATGAAAAAATGGTTATAATAAAAAGAAAAATAGAAGCTATTAAAAAAAAGCCAGACTTATAAAATGGAATGGAAAACCTTTATTAATTTTTGGAAAATTTTTTCCACCCACCCCAAGTTTATTTACTCCCCCCCCCCCTGTTTATTAATTTCTTACTTGCTGTCGTAAAAAAAAAAAAAGGGAAAATCGGCCTTAAAATTATCATTAGAAAATGCGCATTTGACCGCAAGCCAAACTAAATTTAAATAGTTTTATGCGTGTTTTGTAATAAATATTATTTGGATCGGATATGCCAGTTCGCACTTATGCCAATTCGCACTTATGCCAAAATTTGCAAATTTGTTTGGCACACTTATGCCAATTCGCACTTATGCCAGTTTGCACTCTTGCCAGTTTTTGCAACGCTTCGCACTTATGCCATATGCCAATTCGCGCTTATGCCAGTTCGCGCCTACGCCATTCCAGTTTGCATTTACGAAATTCGCGCTTATTCAGTCGTCCCGTTAAAATAATTGAAAATAAGACTTTAAAAACTTGATAAAACACAGACCCCGAAAAATAATCTAATCCCAAAAAATAATCTTAAAGTATTTCTAATAAAATCTTAACTTTCATAGTCAGCGTTTTATTAAAAAATGAAAATCTAAAAATTCATGAATAAAATGGGTGTGTGTTTATTTTGGATGTGTGTTTGATTTATAATACTATTGTGATTTGAAATAAAGTATTGTGGACAGCGTTAAAAATTCTTCTTTTGCATTTGTTATCAAAAGGGAGGCTGAATTAAACAAGTATCCTTGTCTTTTAATATTAAAAGGTAATTAACTTTAGATAGTTGTAAAATTTTTAATTGTTTAATATATAATTTGTGATTGAATTATTACAAGCAATATATTAAATAATAAAAATTTAATTACTTATTGCCAATATTATTCTATTATTGTTATTATAAAAGTTAATATTGTTATTAACTAAAGTTATTTTTATTCTGTATAAATTGATAAACTTTAAATAATATATACTGTTAAATAATATATACATATATATTACAAATATGTGTTGTCTATAGGAATGGTCAAATAATAGACTAATAAAATTATTTAAATAACAAATAATTTTTTGAAAATTATTTAAATAACTCAAATAATTCAAATAATAAATATAAAGTTCAAATAATTATTAAATCAATACCATGCACCAATTTACTTTGTACTAAAACATTTGTTTTAGCACAAAGTTTATTATATTAAAAATTGTCTTATTGCTTTTGCCAAACACATGAAAACTATTTATTTCTGGTAAAATATGACCTTAAATAACATAATGTATCGGTCATTTCATTGCTTAAGGATGTTCTAAGTTTAGTAATGAATAAGCCAGCCACGTTGAAGCATCTTTCAGCTTCCATAGATGAAGGTGGTAAAGAAGAAAGAGCTAAATTTAACTTTTCCAAACTTTTTGGTCGATCATTAGAGGCTTTAAACAATGCAAGTTCTTTTTTTATAAATAATAACACATTTTTAGTTAGTGAAGCCACAACAGTGTCAGATAAATATTCATAAAGTTCATTAAATTTCCTTTTCTTTGGTAACAATTCCTTAGACTCTAGAGCAGCACTCTTGTTATTTGAGTCAATGGATGGGCTATTTTTATTTTATATTATATCTTTCAAAAAAAGTCTTTTGTATAGATATTTTGCTATCTTTGGAAGATCCTTCTTTTTTGGATAATAAAGGATTGAGTTTTCAGTAATTTTATCATAAAAATTTGATTTGTCTAAATATCTAATAAGTCCATTAATACCAGAGTTTCTTCTTTCATAGATTCTTTCTAACACAGCAGTATAAAGATCTTTACCAACAAGACTTTTCTTGTCATTTAGTTTTGAAAGAGTAAATTCAAAACCCTTTTCAGTTGTCAATATGTCAACATCTCTTTTACAAAGAGCAGTAACTCCAACTTCAATTATTTCTAAACAATCAGTTAAATCTCTTATAAGATCAACTTCTGATTTAGTGAGTATTAGTTCACTGGCAGACAAATCATTGAGAATTGAATCTAAAACATTTTTTATCTTTAGATATCTTGAAGGCATTTTTATCAAAGAATTCCATCTAGTCTTTGTGTCAAGAATCATTGATTGTTGTTTTCCAAGCTCTTTCAAACAATGTTGTTGGAGAAAAGTTGTTGCCCGATTTTCCCTGCCATTCTCCACTTAGTTCATCATCAGAATCTTCATCACTTTCATCAACTTCGCATGTTCATTGTCAGTGTCAAATTCTTTGAAATGTTTCTTTTTGAAATGTACATCTACAACAGTAGAATAGATGAATACCATGGGAGTGACATTGTTGATGAACAATATTTAAAAGTTTTCCTAATTTTTTTATAAAATTTTTTCATCAGTCACTAAACTAAGAATATCTTATTTAAAATTTAAATTAAGCTTTTTTATAATCATTTCAAGTGCTTTTTCTGCTGTCATAGAACCATTAATCCTTAAGATGCTAAAAGATTGAACCTGATTTTAAAAAAATGCAAGTTTAAACACATATACTGATGATTTTTCTTTGATGTCCATTCATCTAAAGATAATGAAAAATGAGTATCTGCTTTTTTCAACTTTTCAAAGTCATCAGCTAAAATAAACTTTACATTTTTGCAATATTCCAAAAGCATACTTTTTATTCCATGTCTATTACTTGGAATTTTTAAGTTTTGTGCTGCCCAACCATTTTTAATATTAATACTTTTCTCTAACTCAAAAATTAGAATAAGATCTACTGCAACAAGTCTGGCAAGAACAATCTCAGATGAATCAATCTTTTTTTTAAGACAAGAAGTAATTAAAATCTGACTACTCATATATATATATATATATATATATATATATATATATATATATATATATATATATATATATATATATATATATATATATATATATGTATATATATATATATATATATATATATATATATATATATATATATATATATATATATATATATATATATATATATATATATATATGTATATATATATATATATATATATATATATATATATATATATATATATATATATATATATATATAAATATATATATATATAGATAGATTTCTTTTTTGTAGAAAAATCAAAATGGCACAAAATAATACATATGCAAAGAAACATGAAAACATTCTTTATAGCCAAGAGTTTAAGTTAAACTTTAGTAAAAGCGTTGGAGTAGATTGGAAAATTCTTGGACTTTGGTTAAATATTGAAGAAAACTGTATTGACACAATTGATCATGATAAACCCAATACCCTTGAAAAAGCATATAAAATGCTAACTACATGGATTCAAATGAATGATAATCCAACACTTGAGGAGTTGAAAACAGCTTTAAGGAACATGAATAGAATTGATCTAATAAGAAAAATAGATGAATTAACAAGTAATTATGTTTTAGTTAGTAATAATTAATAATAATTATTTTATTTTGTGGAATTGAAATTTTTTACATTAAAAATTATTATTCAAAAATAAAGACTATAATATTTTATTTCCATGCGATGTTCCTTGACATTCGGATTGCAAACTATTCAAATAAAGCTAAATTAAGTTGGTTATAGTGTAACCTATGGCCTTAATCTTCAAAAAAAAAAGTTTTATAAAAAATTTAACAGTGTTATTCTAGTGTTTTGTAAATTATAAAATAATGATCAATTTTCCGAAAATATTCTTAGGTAACTTATTTATTAAAACTTATTTATTAAAGTTTATCTGGTTTAAAAATTGGTACAAGTTCAAAATGAGTTTTTTCTTTTAAGTAACTAAGAAACCATGTACTAGGTAACAATAAATTGCAAAGAAACAGTTCTAATGTAAAAGAATGACGTAAAATTTTATGGCGTAAGAAAGTATGTTTTGCATAAAATTTTATTATAAGTTTGTATATCCTGTTTCTCTTGACAACTTTTTAGCTTGGCTTTAACATTTCTTTGATTTCTAATTTTTTATTATAAGATTATGAACAATAGAAGATCTTCTGAGTCATTTGCAAGTGAAAGTCCCCCTGAAAATTTAGATGTTTGTTGTTGTCATACAAATTGTTCTTTTTTGTAACATAAAATTTTACATTTAAAAAATTAGTTAAACAATGAATAAATGAAATTTTTCTACTGTAAAAAAACATACATTCTGCTCCTTCGAAAAAACACGAGAGTCCAGAGTCACTGGATTTTTGCGGCTTCATTAAAAAACAATGGCTTTGCGGATCGGGCTCAACTCCACAAACTTGTGTATATGTATGCCTCTTACTTAAAAAATAATCTTAGAGGAAATGTTATAAGAAATCTGATTATGAAGAGATATGTTTCATTCAAAAGCAATAAAAAGATTTATTAAAAGAATTGTTTACTTTATTTAACATTTTAAAGACTTTATCTTTATTATTGGTTTCAATAATTAAATGTAAAAAAATGTTAAAAAAAAACATTTAATTATTTAAAAAAGAGTTAAATAATCTTTTTTTTTTTTTACTTTGTATAAAAACTTACAATTTTGAAATAAGTAAAAAAAAACACGGTGTTTTTTTTACTTGTTTTTCAACTTTTTTTTTCGCGCAACAGCCTTATTTGTTAAGGTTTATGTTTTGGAGTACAGATTATAAGGTTTTTAAAAAAATTAATGTAGCCTCTCAACTGTAGTGGCCTTTATAGCCTTGGGTAGCTGAATTAGCATAAAAATAAAAAAAGTAAAAAACAGACTTGGTCAAGAAATGAGTGGGATTACACTCTTTTCCAGACCATACAAATTATTTGCTATAATTTGGCCACTGCTTTTTAGATGTTTAAAGAACGTACAAGTTTATGTATGTTTCCATGTATGTATGAAATCTTTTGACATATTGAAATAATTAAATTTTTAAAAAATCTTTTTCAATCAAATGTTTTTATATTAGCAAAACTTAGTAATGATTTACTTTTATTGATCGTTTATAAAAAGAAAATGTTCAGTTTTTTTTTAAAAATTATATAAAGTTAAGTAGCTTTTATTAAAAATTATACAAATAATTATATATTTAAAAATATAGATTAATTTTTTATTCTTTAAATGTAAATCTATGAAAAATATTTATACAACTGATTTTCTACTTATAACTTCCATTAATAAACCAGCGGATTTTTATTGACTTGTTTACTTATAGATCATTATTTTATCATTTGCTAAAGATGACTAGAATGTGAGATATGGTTCCTCTCTTCCTGAGTTGTTAACTTTTACTCCTTCTACTAAATAGTTTCTACATTAATTTATATTTTTTTACCTAAATGACATCATCTTCAATCTGTTTTTATTTTCACACCTCCCAGGTCTAGGTAACTGGACAGCTCAGTTGGTCACTTTTTGCGATCATAGTGTCGCATAAGCAAAAAATTTATTCTTTGTTGCTGGTGAGCCCTGACTTTTTCCAATGTACACCACAACAACAAAAAGGACATTAGGCTATCCCGCTGGATGTGGTTATGGCGATCAATAACCTAATGACTACGCTGACACTCATGCACACGTTCAGTCAGAAGCTCCACAATGCATGTCAGATCAGCGCTCCCTGACTATGTGCTTGGGTCTGAAATCTCACTTCATAGCACATCATTCCACACCAGCATGGGACAGTAGCTCTTTTGGCTAAGAGTGATGGCTTTTGGCCTACAGTGACTAATGTGTGCATTCAATCAATTGAAATCCATTCTGTAGGTCTGATTTCTGGCTTTGATGTGCTAGCCCATAAGCACAAGAAGTGAGTGTGTTTAGCTTTCTATTCACCCGATTTGAAAGTGAACGCAAACATAACAAGACCATACTAGACAACAAAACGGTACGTACTAATGCACTACACCATCACACCTGTAGACATCAACAGCCTCTAAAATCAGTATATCAAATATTTGTTCTTTGTTACATATGATCTAAACACAGAGTGACTAGAGTGTTAGTTGGTTCTCCCATTGCCCCCGAGCATTTAATTTCGTTCTTCACCTTCACAAAAGTCTTGTCACTCATTTTATATTTACTTATGATTTAATTTTTTTTTATTCAATGATACCATCTAACTGTTTCGATTGTCACATCTCTCAGGTCTACGAAACTGGACGGCTTTGTTGGTCACTTTTTGCAATCATTGTGATGATTAATAAAATAAACAAAACAAAAAAAAAAAAATAAAATAAAAATAATTATATAACTATTTATATATATGTTTATTTGATTAATAATTTTATAACTAATTATAAAATTATTAATCAAATAAACATACAGAAACTTACAGGTAAATGAACATAAACATACATAAACACATAGTGAATTATGAGTGGATTAACACTGTGCCAGAGGGTTGAAAAAAATGTAAACATAAATTTATATAAAGTGACTTATGGGTGAAATAGCACTGTGCCAGCAGTATATTCAGAACACAAACATACAAATATATAAAAAAGCCCACTTTCTAAACTTCGTTAGCAGTATTATAAAACAGTTTTGCTTCCTCTTCATAAATATATTTTACCTCTTTAGTTTAACCATAAAAGATTGTATTTAAATAATTTGATGCAATAAAAACATACTTTAAATCAATTTAATGCAATAAAAATGTGCTTCAAATGTTTGTTTCTTTAAAAACAATCATTAATAGTAAGTTGTTACTTTTAAAAGTGTCATTTAGTTTTATAAAAAAAATTATAAAAGAGAGAAGTTTAGAAATAATTTATGGTAAACAATTTTTTTTTTTTTTTTTTTAAGTATAGTTTTTTTCTTTGTTAAGAGTTCCCATTATTTTTTAGTTAATTTTTTAAATAGTTTTCTCCTGTCAAGTTAAGTTTTTTTTTGCAATTTTAGAAATGTTCTCAAAACATCTTTTTGCATCTAAATATTATATGCGTGGTCAAATATAGAGTGCGATCGCACCTGCTTGCCAACCAAGCCTGAAAAAAATGTACTTATTTTTAAAATAAATATTCAAAGTAAGTTGTTACTTTATTTAAAAGGGTTTCCCATAATATTATAAAAACATTCTAAGGTTCTTAGTTTATAATAAACTGTTATAAAATACTTAGATTAAGATGAAAATGATAAAAAAAATTCATAATAAAAAATACTTAAATTAAATAATATTAAAATTTTAGTTTTTTGAGTTATTTTTATTTTTGTGTTTTAGTTTTTTTATTTACTCTATTGTTAAGATTTCTTTTCTTAGTTTAAATTCAGATATTTTTAAAGTTTTTTATTTGTTAAATCTAGATTAATTTTTTCAGCGCTTTTTCAGTTTTTTTGTAATGTTAAAATTTTTAAAAGATATTAACAGCCATGTAGTTGCCAAAAAAAAAGTTATTTTGTTTTGGTTATTTGACCACACAAAAAACCATTATTTTTTGTTTGGTCGACAAAAAGCAGTGGTTTTTTGTTTTTTGAACTTGTTATCTCACTTTAAGACAATGCTAAGCTGTTTGCTTAACACTTTTTACCAATCTCATCTCTTGTTTCCTCTAATCACATGATATAGCTGACTAACAGGATAATCCATTAATTGACATTCGTATCCCTTTAGCTTCTGTATCTAAAGTGGTTTCCTGTTTAGACTTTTCTACAACTTGTGGTCTGGACAACATACCTGTTATAGTCTGGCAAAAGCATTCTCCGGAATTTTTTTTTACACTTTTAAAACTGTTTAACAAGTGCTTATCAGAGTCTTGTTTTCAAGCCTACATCTGAAATGTACATCTATTAATGAACATCCCTATTTTTAAATTTCTAGAGAGTGCTCTGATTTGTCTAACTACTGCCCTATCATAAGAATTGTTTTTGAATCTTTAATTTTCAAACACTTAATCTCTCATCTTGAATCACTCTTCTATATTTCCTGTAACTTCAGGGGCTACTCAAGGATTTATCGTTGGCCCTATACTTTTTTAAATTTACTTTAATGATTTCCCAGAAATTCTCACATCTAAGGTGGTGTTGTTCACTGATGATATTACCATTTATTTTTGTCTTGATAAGAGTTCAACACTCTCTGATTGCTTGCAGGGGGCATTATGAGCTTGAAAACGATCTTGCTTCGGCTACAGCATGGAGCGCTCAGTGGCTGTTGAACATAGACTTTTGTCTATTTTTTTTGCCTTGAACATCAGTTATTTGGAATTCGATGTTAATTGTTGTTTTGCCTTATAGTTACCATAGTTACATTTAAAAAAAATTATTACCAAGAAATTTTACTAAAGGTTATGTTGTTTTATGGTTTTATTGATTAAGTTTAATGGGATAGGATTTTTTTGAATAATTTATTTAATATCTATAGTATCTAAATGAAAACTCCTCAGTTGCTGTTGATTTTAAAAACCCTGTCAATCAACCACTTACAGATAATTGTAGTGTTGCATCTCTTTTCTACAAATA